ATATATATATATATATATATATATATATATATATATATATATATATATATATATATATATATATATATATATATATATATATATATATATAATGCTACCGACATTGAGTGTTTAATCCCTACCTTTAATCCTTTAATCCACAGGGAGAGTAGGGGCCGCACAAGCTTTTGCTGTATTCGCGTACATCGCCCTCAACGCTGGCTTTTTTCTCATCCCCTTGTACATGTTTTACGCCAAGTTTAGGGGCAACAAAACAGTTGGGCTGGCGTCTGCCGCGGCTTTAATCTTCTCAGGTGAGAGAGCACCCACAATTTAGTGTAGCAAACGTTGCAAAAAAACATGGTGAGTTAGATAAAAATGTAATTATAAGGCGGGAGTGGTTTCACCTGAATTTTGTCGTATATTATGTTATAACTTTAAAAGGGGAGGCGATGGCACTTTCAGTAAAATCTGAGGTATAGAAATATAGACATTTGTGACAAAAGCGCTAAAGTTTTTAGAAAACACAGAGAAGTGAAAATCTATATATATATATAACTCTCAACGTGGGAACCATGGAGGACACCACCACCACGTAAGTGCTCCTAGCCGCCCCCTCCCTTCTTCTCTAAGCATATAGCTACCACCCCCACCAGATTGGTGAGCTGTTGTTCACGCCAAATGTTTACAATCGTAGTGCCGGGTCGAATTAGTAACGGTTATTAGGGGAAGATAATCAGAGTTTTTCCAGGTATCTCTTCGGCTCAGACCCCCCCCCCCCCCCCCCCACCGAACGAAATGGAATTAATATAGAAAACATACACTTTTACCAGTGTGTCCGCCACCCCCCCCCCCCCTCGAAAATATTGTCCGGCCCCCTCCCCTCGAAAATATCAGCCCCCCCCCCCCCCCACGGAGAAAAAAAAAGTCGGGGAGAAACAGTGCAGATTATTCCGTTTTTAAACGAGGCTGATTTCACGACTCACGTTAGGTAAACAAAGAGCGGTTGGGCATAGTGTTGATCACATTTTTCTTTTGAATGCCGAGGTCATTGAAACAGAGGAACAAATGAATACTTTAAAACTTATTTCTGTAAGCCAATAAAAATTAATGAAAGTAAAAAACCTTAAAAATGAATTATCATGTTGCACAAGTGGTCATTAATTAATTGATTTAATGACGTTTTTCAGCTGTGTCATGGCTACTTGCTGTCGTCATCTTGGCCGCTTACGTCAACGATATCAGCTTTAACATTGAGTTTGGGTCCTCTTTTGCCTTGGCCATCGTGGCCCTAATCCTGGCCCTGGTTGCTGGAATCTTGATGCTGATGGCCATCCTTAAAGGCGGATCTGTCGGTGCTAAATAGAAAACATGGACTGGTTTAAATATTTGTAGGCACCTTTATTATATTTCGAAAGGCCTGTTGAAATTATTTTTACTATAACATATCTAATTATCTACCACGATCTAATTATTTTATCATCTTGAAATATTAATGTGTAAATATTATGTATTTTGTTTTGTTTCAAGTTATCATTTTTTTTTAAATGTATATTTTTATCTAATGTGTAACTGCGCGCTTATAATACGATCGTGCATTTGTAAAAAAAAGGCATTATATAAGCGAACCTCTGTTCAATAAAACGTGTAACATTGCCTGTAGCCAAGCACAAATCTTATTTATTAAAGTCTTAAAAACCACATCATTTCATCGCTGAAAATCACAAGCCTTTATGATTCAAGTTTGATTCATTTAAGGGAAAATCGCATGTTTACACATTTATTTCTTAATATTGCAAAACACTACATTGTGAATTGGGAAAAACATGTAAACAAATTAAGACAGTGAATGTATACAATAGATCTTTAAAAAAAACTGGAGCTAGGGATTTAAACAAATGGCCGAACAACATGTTTCGCTGAAACTTCAAAATACCAGTAGGGTTACAACGGAGGTGAGAGTGGTGTGCACCGCACCGAATAAAACCACACCCAGTGAAAAGCTCAGAAGAAAAGCTTGGTATCCAATAGATAATGAAGTGACCTACGCTTTTGAAATAGATCTTTAAATAGTATTGTATTGCTATATATTTAAAGAAAATACCTGTTTTATCCTTTTTACTGCATTATTACATGGAAACTTGATATTAAACGTTTTCTATACAATTTTTTAGTACTTAATACTGCTACTCTATATCCAATGGAAGGCGCATGTTTACAATAGATGTCACATTTATATTATGACTGTGTTTTGATCAGTCCACTTAACACTAGCATATCTTATGACGTAGACTGTGATTAAGTAATCTACTCACTGGCCATGTTTTATAAGCGAGGTCAATCAATAATACATTCATTGCAATACAGCGACAATTATTTTATTATTTTAAGGAGATTTCTCTTTCTACAAACATTGTCTGGCATGAAGCGATGACAGGTGTAGTTTAAATTGCAGAGCTAGTGCGTTTATATCAGGCTAAGGAACAACAATATATGTTTTATCTATTTTTCTATAATGTTAAGGTTAGGGCATAGCGCTCTATTTTTCAGCCAATGGCTAGGCTAGCTGGTTCTTTTTCGTTAGTGATTAGACGGATGAGTTGTTAACACAGTTTTCGGAGTAAATCATATTTTTCTAGACTGATTTGATATGATTTAGTATTTTTTGATCACCTATATGTATGCATGAAATAACAGTTCTATTATTTATTTAGAGGAAGTCAATTTAGGTAATCAGTGTCGGAGCAGCAGCTACGACAGCAGCTGTTAACACTAGAGACTGAGGGGAGGGGGTGGGGCTTTTTAAAGTATTTTATGTTGAACAACTCATCTTTGCTTGACGTGTAATGGATAAATAATATAGATTTAATTTAAACATTCAAACGATCTTTTATCTAACAGAAACATAAGCGTTGGAGAAAAATACATTTGATATTTATTGGAGGCCCTATAAAACCGAGGGGGGAGGTGGTCCCTGGCTGCTGTTCTCTCAGCTCCCCCACCCCCCCCCCCCCCCCCACCCACTTAATCCGACGCTACTGTAATAGATTAAAAAAGGGAAAACAAAAAAACCTTACTGTTTTAATAATATTCGGTATTTTACTTGCTTAGCGTTTAAGCGATTATTTTACTTTAAAGGTTTATAACAGTTGCATTTTAAATGAAAGAAAGTAAATAAAATTTTAAACTTTCAAATAGTTTTACCAGGCTTACTTTGTAAAAGATTTTTTTTTTGCGAAACATTGGGTTTGTACCGAAATTTTATTTTTAAAACTGAAAAAGAGGTTAGAATAGTCATTATTGTCATCGTATTACACTTACAAAAACCTTTACTTTCTTGTATTCGGAGTAGGTCTTTGGATGAAGTGTTGTAATCGTGCAAAATATTTAAATTGAGATTTTACAACTCTAGACGTTTTACCTCCACCCCCTTTCGAGTCGGAAAAGCTTAGTTTTCCTATATTGTCCGTTTGTCTGTTTGCTTGTGTATGTGTGTGTGTAAATTTCCGTCTGTCTGTAAACAACATAAATTTGTGTATCGTTTCAGTTAGGTTGGCAAAATGTCATATAATGCTTCAAGTTTGTAATTTTTTAAAAACTTTTGAGCGACTACCGGTCATCGAAAGTGGTACTCTACTCCCGTTTGCTCAAAATCGTATAACTAGAGTATAACTTCAGTTAGGTGGACTAAATTTTATTTATAATTATACCATTGTATGTTCAAGTTTGTAATAACGTTTGAACAATTTCTGATTACCGAAAGTGATACTTCACTCTATTTCCGTGGGTACCTGATAACCACCGAAGCGTGGGTCGGGAGCAGTTAGTAACAGTTAGCGGCAGGAGATTGTGATAGGTAGCACTAGGGTAAAGATGTAAAATTTAGAGGAGATAGTGAGTTAGGGATGGTCATGGGAGTGTGCAGTTAGATAGGAGTGTGTAGTTAGTAGTATGAGTAGTAGACAGTATATAGTATAGGCAAGATAGATACAAGTAGAATAATTGATTTGTGTAAAATAAAGAACATTAAATCTTGAATTGGACTTATGTGTGGTGATTTCACAAAACTATATCAGGCCGATATTCGTCTTCTATCACCCCACCCAGGGGCGTAGCGAGGGGGGTGCGGACCGCACCGGGTGACACCATTTAGGGGGGTGACACCAAGGCAAAAAATAGCAAAATATATAGAGAAAAATGATAATTCCACTTAATGGAGTGATTAATTAGAGTGTTCAATAGCCTTTTAAGAGGTGGGGGGTGCAAATCGAAAGTTTGAGGGGGGGGGGGGTGCAAATCGAAGGTTTGAGAGGGGGGGGGGGGGTGCAAATCGAAAGTTTGAGGGGGGGGGGGTGTGTAAATCGAAAATTGAAAGTTTGTCCCCGGGAAGGGTCGTTGCGCCTTTGGGGGGTGACACCATTAAGTGCCGCACCGGGTGACACCCGACCTCGCTACGCCACTGACCCCACCCTTACATTTGGCGGAGCTGCCGAACGAGAGACTAAAAAAAGTATATCAGATGCTCATGACGGAACATAACTAATATTTAACTTCTCAAACTCGACATCACAAATGGTTAAACTGCGCTTATTAGAAGCCTGTGTAGATTCAGTGGTCAGCTGACCGTCCCACGTGACCGGTCAGCTCCTGTATTTCCATTGTTCTGTTTAACAAATCAAGCTATACTCTGTTTCTATTCTACTTAACCTCTAACCTAAACTCATGACAATTTGGTAGACGAAATATCATATCTAAGTAAAAGATCTTATGCATGGATTACTTTTAATTTTTTTAGCGTCATTTGATGTCAGAAGTCTTACTTTACCCTATTTCTGTTTTTTTAGAAATACCAATAATTTCAGTAGCGTTTCAGGTAATGGTTGAAATTTCACACATGGATCTGGAAGTATGTGTAATAAAACTTTTACAATTCTAATGTGTTTTCTAAGGGTTATGACAGCGAAACTCACAGTCTTTTCAGTTTAAAAATATTTAAAAAAGAAAAACAACACTTTGGGGCCAAAGACAAAATTCATTTACTTGTCAACTAAAATTTCTTTACTTGTCAACTAAAATTTCTTTACTTGTCAACTAAAATTTCTTTACTTGTCAACTAAAATTCCTTTACTTGTCAACTAAAATTCCTTTACTTGTCAACTAAAATTCCTTTACTTGTCAACTAACATTCCTTTACTTGTCAACTAAAATTCCTTTACTTGTCAACTAAAATTCGTTTACTTGTCAACTAAAATTCCTTTACTTGTCAACTAAAATTCCCTTATGTGTCAACTAAAATTCCCTTATCTTGTCAACTAAAATTCCTTTACTTGTCAATTAAAATTCCTTTACTTGTCAACTAAAATTCCCTAATTTGTCAACTAAAATTCCTTTATTTGTTAACTAAAATTTCTTACTTGTCAACTAAAATTTCTTTACTTGTCAACTAAAATTCCTTTACTTGTCAACTAAAATTCCTTAACTTGTCAACTAAAATCCCTTTACTTGTCAACTAAAATGTCTTTACTTGTCAACTAAATATCCTTTACTTGTCAACTAAAATTCCTTTACTTGTCAACTAAAATTCCTTTACTTGTCAACTAAAGTTCCCTAACTTGTCAACTAAAATTCATATACTTGTCAACTAAAATTACTTTACTTGTCAACTAAAATTCCTTTATTTGTCAACTAAAATTCCCTAACTTGTCAACTAAAATTCCTTTACTTGTCAACTAAAATTCCTTTATTTGTTGACTAAAATTTCTTACTTGTCAACTAAAATTTCTTTACTTGTCAACTAAAATTCCTTTACTTGTCAACTAAAATTCCTTTATTTGTTAACTAAAATTTCTTACTTGTCAACTAAAATTCCTTTACTTGTCAACTAAAATGTCTTTACTTGTCAACTAAATATCCTTTACTTGTCAACTAAAATTCCTTTACTTGTCAACTAAAATGTCTTTATTTGTCAACTAAAATTCCTTTACTTGTCAACTAAAATTCCTTTACTTGTCAACTAAATATCCTTTACTTGTCAACTAAAATTCCTTTACTTGTCAACTAAAATGTCTTTATTTGTCAACTAAAATTCCTTTACTTGTCAACTAAAATGTCTTTACTTGTCAACTAAATATCCTTTACTTGTCAACTAAAATTCCTTTACTTGTCAACTAAAACTCCTTTACTTGTCAACTAAAGTTCCCTAACTTGTCAACTAAAATTCATATACTTGTCAACTAAAATTACTTTACTTGTCAACTAAAATTCCTTTATTTGTCAACTAAAATTCCCTAACTTGTCAACTAAAATTCCTTTACTTGTCAACTAAAATTCCTTTATGCGTACACTAAAATTCCTTTACTTGTCAACTAAAATTCCTTTACTTGTCAATTAAAATTCCTTTACTTGTCAACTAAAATTCCCTAATTTGTCAACTAAATATCCCTAACTTGTCAACTAAAATTCCTTTACTTGTCAACTAAAATTTCTTTACTTTTCAACTAAAATTCCTTTACTTGTCAACTAAAATTTCTTACTTGTCAACTAAAATTTCTTTACTTGTCAACTAAAATTCCTTTATTTGTTAACTAAAATTCCTTTACTTGTCAACTAAAATTCCTTTACTTGTCAACTAAAATTTCTTTACTTGTCAACTAAAATTCCTTTACTTGTCAACTAAAATTTCTTACTTGTCAACTAAATATCCTTTACTTGTCAACTAAAATGTCTTTACTTGTCAACTAAATATCCTTTACTTGTCAACTAAAATTCCTTTACTTGTCAACTAAAATTTCTTTACTTGTCAACTAAATATCCTTTACTTGTCAACTAAATATCCTTTACTTGTCAACTAAAATTCCTTTACTTGTCAACTAAAATTCCTTTACTTGTCAACTAAAGTTCCCTAACTTGTCAACTAAAATTCATATACCTGTCAACTAAAATTACTTTACTTGTCAACTAAAATTCCTTTACTTGTCAACTAAAATTTCTTTACTTTTCAACTAAAATTCCTTTACTTGTCAACTAAAATTTCTTACTTGTCAACTAAAATTTCTTTACTTGTCAACTAAAATTCCTTTATTTGTTAACTAAAATTCCTTTACTTGTCAACTAAAATTCCTTTACTTGTCAACTAAAATTTCTTTACTTGTCAACTAAAATTCCTTTACTTGTCAACTAAAATTTCTTACTTGTCAACTAAATATCCTTTACTTGTCAACTAAAATTCCTTTACTTGTCAACTAAAATTTCTTTACTTGTCAACTAAATATCCTTTACTTGTCAACTAAATATCCTTTACTTGTCAACTAAAATTCCTTTATTTGTTAACTAAAATTTCTTACTTGTCAACTAAAATTTCTTTACTTGTCAACTAAAATTCCTTTATTTTTCAACTAAAATTCCTTTACTTGTCAACTAAAATTCCTTTACTTGTCAACTAAAATGTCTTTACTTGTCAACTAAAATTCCTTTACTTGTCAACTAAAATTCCTTTACTTGTCAACTAAAGTTCCCTAACTTGTCAACTAAAATTCATATACCTGTCAACTAAAATTACTTTACTTGTCAACTAAAATTCCTTTATTTGTCAACTAAAATTCCCTAACTTGTCAACTAAAATTCCTTTACTTGTTAACTAAAATTCCTTCATGCGTACACTAAAATTCCTTTACTTGTCAACTAAAATTCCTTTATTTGTTAACTAAAATTTCTTACTTGTCAACTAAAATTTCTTTACTTGTCAACTAAAATTCCTTTACTTGTCAACTAAAATTCCTTAACTTGTCAACTAAAATCCCTTTACTTGTCAACTAAAATGTCTTTACTTGTCAACTAAATATCCTTTACTTGTCAACTAAAATTCCTTTACTTGTCAACTAAAATTCCTTTACTTGTCAACTAAAGTTCCCTAACTTGTCAACTAAAATTCATATACTTGTCAACTAAAATTACTTTACTTGTCAACTAAAATGTCTTTATTTGTCAACTAAAATTCCCTAACTTGTCAACTAAAATTCCTTTACTTGTCAACTAAAATTCCTTTATTTGTTGACTAAAATTTCTTACTTGTCAACTAAAATTTCTTTACTTGTCAACTAAAATTCCTTTACTTGTCAACTAAAATTCCTTTATTTGTTAACTAAAATTTCTTACTTGTCAACTAAAATTCCTTTACTTGTCAACTAAAATTCCTTTACTTGTCAACTAAAATTCATTTACTTGTCAACTAAATATTCTTTACTTGTCAACTAAAATTCCTTTACTTGTCAACTAAAATTCCTTTACTTGTCAACTAAAATTCCTTTACTTGTCAACTAAAATTCCCTAACTTGTCAACTAAAATTCCTTTACTTGTCAACTAAAGTTCCTTTACTTGTCAACTAACTAAAATTCCTTTACCTTTCAACTAAAATTTCTTTACTTGTCAACTAAAATTCTCTAACTTGTCAACTAAAATTCCTTTACGTGTCAACTAAAATTTCTTTACTTGTCAACTAAAATTCCTTTACTTGTCAACTAAAATTCCCTAACTTGTGAACTAAAATTCCTTTACTTGTCAACTAAAATTTCTTTCTTGTCAAATAAAATTCCTTTACTTGTCAACTAAAATTCCTTTACTTGTCAACTAAAATTCCTTTCGTTTGTTTCTTTTTGGCAACATGCTTGTTCATTACGGCCTTGATCTTTCTCCAATTGATGTCGGTGGAACCAGCTATGTGCAGCAGTATCAGCTGGTTGACCAGCTCTTGGAAGGTCGCGGCCTTGACTTCCCGCTGGTACCACTTATTGAGCAGCTTGCAGATTGTGCGCTTTTTGTTGTTCTTATAGTGCTCCTTCCATTTGCTGACCACTGTTTCGTCGAAGTCCAGACGGTCGAAGACGAACTCCCACTCTTCACCAAGACATTCGACCAGAATGCAGGCGACTTTTCTCTCTAGTTGTACCTTCCCGATGTTGAGGGGTATATTGAAGAACCACGGATCTGAGATAAAGATGTAATTAAAGTGTTAAGCAATCAAGCCTAGACTGAGGATGTGTGTTATAACAGGAGAGGTCAATTCATTATTATATGGATCATCACATACCTTATTTTAAACCATATAGTTTGCTTTCATTGGATCGATAAGTAAGATCTTATTAGTTATAGATTAGTTCATTTCTATTTGTATTGAAATTCTATTTTTTGTTGTTGTTCAGAATTGTCTAATTACTTCTACGATGAGGTAGGGGAAATTTTGCAATATATTTTGACCATTTTTTGTATAGACCAGAATATTTCACACAGTAAAAATACCTTTTTAAATAAATTAATCTGTTTCACGGTAACACTGTCAGCATGATGGTATCCGGCTACTGATTTATTTGTTGTTTGGAGTAAATTTCATGGCAATAAAATAAAACAACTTCTTATATTAAAGAACAAGGATAAAAAATCACCCGAAGCATATTTACCAAATTAAAATGTGTTTTTAAATTTCTGCTTTTCGACTAGCAAAATCAGGAGATTTAAACAAAAATGTGGCATTTCTCAATCGGAAGTGTTGATCGTGAATTCTGATAGACAGCGGCTAAGGTTATGAAATGACTCGTTAAAATTCATGGGTTTGGTGTCCATTGTGAAATAAACCCACTTCAATTCAAACTATACTATTGTGATAAACAAACACTATGACAAAGTCGGCACATCCGAGATGGAAAGACTCAGGACAGTCCTAAAAACTTTAGTTTTCCATCCGATTTAAAGACGAACGGATGCATATTTGAGGTTTCAAATGCTCTGCATCCAAACCAAGATCTCCTTATTACAAGATATGCTGGGATTTATAGATGTTGAAACAAAATTTAGAAGAATGCATTTCTTTAAAAAAAAATAACAAAGGTTAATTAAACAGAAAAGTAAACCTTACCAATATCAGGTGTCTCTTTGCTATATGCAGGAATTGTTTGTAGTCTGAAAGCACAAAGAATGATTCATGTTGAAAACTCTTATTTAGCCATGTTTAGAAAGTGTATTGTTTATTTTGTCGGAATATTTTATTTTAGAACTGCCTGTAGAATACAGTCGATTAGTTAGCCTAAAGCCACAAGCTGAAACAATTACAGCTGAAGAATAGGCAAGCTTAAACTAAATGCAAAGAATTCATACAATCCCATATTTACCACTTTTACAAAGACTAAGAAGGTATTCAAAAGAGTAGAGATGCGAGGCATGGACTAACAGAGACCCCCCCCCCCCAACCCCAGAAGAACTCGGGCCCTAGAAATGAGATGTCTACGCAGGCTCCTAGAGATCTGGTAACTAATGAAGAGGTCATGAAAGGATCAGTAAAGTGATTGGTCCCTTTGTGATTCTACTGAGCATTTTCAAAACAAGAGAATTCAGTTATTATAGGCAAGCCATAAGAACTAACAGCCTATCCAAAAGTTTAATGTAGGGAACAGTGACAGGAGAGAGATTTCGTTTCTTCATGGTAACATACGTGGTCATGACGGCCTTGATCTTTCTCCAATTGATGTCGGTGGAACCAGCTTTGTGCAGCAGTATCAGCTCGTTGACCAGCTCTTGGAAGTTAGCGGCCTTGACCTTCCACTGGTACCACATATTGAGCAGCTCGCAGATTATGCGCTTTTTGTTGTTCTTATACTTCTCCATCAAGCGGCTGACCACTGCTTCGTTGAAGTCCAGACGGTCGAAGACGAACTCCCACTCTTCACCAAGACATTCGACCAGAAGGCAGGCGACTTTTCTCTCTAGTTTTACCTCCCCGATGTTGAGGGGTATATTGAAGAACCACTGATCTGAGATAAAGATGTAATTAAAGTGTTAAGCAATCAAGCCTAAACTGAGTATGGGTGTTATAACAGGAGATGTCAATTCATTATTATATGGATCATCACATACCTTATTTTAAACAATATAGTTTGCTTTCATTAGAAAGTAAGATCTTATCAACTATAGATTAGTTAATATCTACTTGTATTGAAAATATTTTTTTTCTTTGTCATAATTGTCTAATTACTTCTAGGATGGGGTAGGGGGAAATTTTGCAATACATGTTGGCCTCTTTTGCATAGACCAGTATATTCAACACAGGAAAAAAACGTTTTTAAATAAACGAATCTGTTACACGGTAACACTGTCATCATGATGTTATCCGGCTATTGATTTATTTGTTTTATAAAATAAATTTCATGGCAATAAAATAAAACGACTTCTTATATTAAAGAAGAAGGATAAAGCATTGAAGCATATTTACCAAATTAAAATGTGCTTTTAAACTCCTGCTTTTTGACTAATAAAATCAGAAGATTTAAACAAAAATGTGGCATTTCTCAATCGGAAGTATTGATCGTGAATTCTTAAAGACACTGGCTAAGGATATGAAATGACTCGTTAAAAGCATGGGTTTTTGGTGTCCTTTGTAAAAAAAAACCTCACTTCAATTCAAGCTATACTATTGTGATCAACAAACACTATGACAAAATCTTGCCTTGGTAATAGCACATCTGAGTTGGGTGGACTCAGGACAGTCTTAACAGTTTTCTTTCCATCCGATTTAAAGACTAACAGATATGTATTGGAGGTTTCAAATGCTTTGCATATAAACCAAGCTGTCCTTTATACAAAATATGCTGGGTTTTATAAATGTTGAAACAAAATTTAAAAGCGTACATTTCTTAAAAAAATAATAAGGGTTAATTAAACTGAAAAATAAAACTAACCAATATCAGATGTCTCTTTGATATTCGCAGGAATTGTTTGTAGTCTGAAAGCACAATGAATGATTCATGTTGAAAACTTTTATTTAGCCATGGTTAGAAAGTTCATTGTTTATTTTGTCGGAATATTTTATTTTAAAGCTGCCTGTAGCCTACAGTCGATTAGTTAGCCTAAAGCCACAAGCTGAAAAGATCATAGCTGAAGAACAGGCTTTAGACAGGGACGTAGCAAAACTGAGGAAATCTTTAATCTTAGACTAAATGCGACAAACACATACAACCGCATATTTACCACGTTTTATAGACTAAGAAGGTATTCAAAAGAGTAGAGATGCGAGGCATGGACTAACACAGACCCCCCCCCCCCTCCCCACCAGAGAAGAATTCGGGCCTTGGAAAGAAGATGTCCATGCAGGCTTCAAGAGATCTGGTAACTAATGAAGAGGTCATGAAAGGATCAGTAAAGTAATTGGTCCCTTTGTGATTCTACTGAGCATTTTCAAAACAAGAGAATTGAGTTAGTATGGGCAAGCCACAAGAACTAACAGCCTATCCAAAACTTTAATGTAGGGAACAGTGAAATAGGAGAGAAGGAGAAGACAAAGACACGATTGGGTGAAGGACATCAAGGATAGGACTCGGCTATCCGTTGCAGAAATAGTCAGAGCAGCAGAAGATTGAGGAAAAAATTGCGTTACATTATGAGAAAATGAACTCCAGTACCTCTACAACCCAAACAAGGGTCGAGGAACAATTAATTGATTGAAGATAGTTAAACAAAACTGAATGATTTTTTAAAAACTTAATATTATTAGAAGCTAATATCTCACATCTTACAACCGTTAACACTTTATTGCTGCATCTTACCCTCTAGACGAGACCAATTTGTTCTTGCAGTTCTCCAGACGATGACCAAACTTATCCCCGTCACCCATAGATTCGGTGGTCCCATTGCTCAACACAAAACTGGTTCTGTCTAGTTCTTCAGGAGGCAACCCCAGATTCACATTGAACTGCAAAAACAATATTTGATGATTGAAGCTGCGCATTAGAAAACGATGAACTCGCTTCCTATCACATGACTCTAAAAATATATTGGGGGTAATACAAACGATATTGATTAAATTAAAAAAGACGTAGATATACCTTGTCTGTTGCTGTATTCTGAGGAATATTTTTTGTTATGACCGACACCCGATTCACGAAGGCCACTGGTGAAGCTACACCATCTGAAAAATCTGGCATGGCTTGCGGTGAAGGTTTGGCAGGATTCGGTTTCTTACCAATACCAAATAGTTTGTTTCTGAAAGTAATTAGTGCACTCAGAGGTAAAGCTGCACGTGAAGTTACAAATTATTTTTATGTTATTTGTATAGCTCATGTTCATTCTTAGTGTTAATCTACATTAAAAAGGATGAAACTGATACGTTGGTATGTTGGTATGTCAACCCTTTCAGAACCGTACACGAACCATAACCCTGGTCTAAACGCTTTAGCTTTGTTCAGTAATGATCATCCATTGCAGATGCCGATTCCTCGCCGTTACGAAAAGTCAGAGACACAGAAATGATATAACATTTGTAATTCATTTTTTTTCCTTTAATTAATTACTAATCAAATCATTACATGTGTTGTAATCTATCCAGGGCTATGTAAGATACTACCTCGCTATTTGTAGTTTTCCGTAGGAAAGCTTTTTTCTTTTACAAGATAGGGTTGTTAGATCTAAGCTAGCCCTTTTTTTTTACAAGATAGGGTTGTTAGATCTAAGCTAGCCCTTTTTTTTACAAGATAGGGTTGTTAGATCTAAGCTAGCCCTTTTTTTACAAGATAGGGTTGTTAGATCTAAGCTAGCCCTTTTTTTACAAGATAGGGTTGTTAGATCTAAGCTATCCCTTTTTTTACAAGATAGGTTTCCTAGATCTAAGCTAGCCCTTTTTTTACAAGATAGGGTTGTTAGATCTAAGCTAGCCCTTTTCTTTTACAAGATAGGGTTGTTAGATCTAAGCTAGCCCTTTTTTTTACAAGATAGGGTTGTTAGATCTAAGCTAGCCCTTTTTTTACAAGATAGGGTTGTTAGATCTAAGCTAGCCCTTTTCTTTACAAGATAGGGTTGTTAGATCTAAGCTAGCCCTTTTTTTACAAGATAGGTTTCCTAGATCTAAGCTAGCCCCTTTCCTTCATACTGATTTGGGACAGTCAGTAGATTCACAGAGTTCACTGGCGAAGTGCTAACAATAAAACACTAGCTCACACGAAAAGATACATAGAACAACCTATCAACCATAATAAGTAGCAATTAGACACAGTAGATAGAGATCTCGTTCACTGGAAGACTGAGATTCATGTAAGCTTTGAAACTCACCGTTTCTTTCAGACTTTTTCTCCGGAGGGGGCTGGGGGACTTGAAATTTTTTTGTCGGGTGGAGGGATTTATTTTCCATGTAAATTATATTTCGTTAGGGGGGGGGGGGTAGCCACTGAAAGATGCCTGAAAGAAACTCTGAACTCAGTTGCCACATCTAAAGGATTGACGATTGAGACAGGGAGATTGAGTGTATACGTCACAGAGAATGATTGAACGTCATAGAGAACGATTGAACGTCACAGAGAATTATTGAGCGCAGAGTATAGTGTGTCAGTAGAACGTGAGATATGGAGAGATACAAAGTCTGGACCTGAGACATTGCAGGTCTGTTGATTTTCACGTGATTCTTTGAAGAATTAAAGTGTTGTAATCTCAAACTTGCAGTCAGAGTGTGTTTCTTTATATGAGTTTGATGAGTCGGTACCAAATGAGACGTCCACAGCCTAGAGACGTAATTCCTATACCGTGGACGAATACATACACGCAGTGGCGTAGGCAGGGGGGGTTAGGGGGGTCATAACCCCCCCATAGACCCCTCGGTATATATATATATACAGTATGAGGGGGGGTGCAAATCGAAAGTTTGTCCCCGGGTAAAAATTGGAACCCCCCCCCCTCCCTGAGACGACCCTGGCTACGCCACTGCATACACGACAAGTGGTTAGACTCCTCAATCGCATGCGGGTGTTGCAGGTAGAAGTTGCCTAATGCTGAAATGTTATTGTGTGTTACGACCCATATTTTCTTAAGTAGGTCACTCAACAATACTGCGAAAAACTAAGCAACCCTTTAAAAAAATGTGCTGTAGCTAAACTTATTCTAAAAAAGACCAGATAACTTTGTATGCTTATAAATAATAAGAGGATAGCATTTTTAAATTTCTTGTATGAAATCAAATCAATTAAAGGAAAGGACAGTATTATAGTAGGTTTCTAGTCTGGACTTACTGAATCAGACGATGCATTTCGTGTTGCGTCATTGAAGATGACGGGTTGTGTGTGGAATTTACCTTGAGTTAATCTTTCATATTTTCAATAGTAAAATTATTATTATCAGATATTACCCACATAATTTAATATTTTACATGTGACCTGCCATCAAGACATCACTCTAAGTCTAAAGGGATACGGTGTTTTGTTAACGGTGTCCAGCTTAAGGCTAGTCAGCCATGATTTGTTTGTAGACAATCTTCTACATATATGTTGCTATTTATAGCAATGGCGGCTGAGATATGTCATAGGGTTAGTTATGTTAAAAACGTTTTAACATTAATTATCACTAGAATCTATTTTATAACAAGTCTAATCTAATTTAATTTTATCTTACAATATTTCAGCGACACATTAACATTATTTTTATATAGACTTTAGCACGGGAATATATATATAAAACAAATAGTTTAAGCAACCTACATTAGTTTATGTGTTCCTTTTTTCGTTTTTTTGTCCATCAATAGATCTAGATCAGGGGTTCCCAACCTTTTTAAAACGTTTTTCTTAACTCAGCTTCGCGTTTGTTTGTTTGTTTGGATGTTTGTTGTTAAAATTGACATCGAAAATTAGCCCACTTCTGATTGCTCTAGAGACCTGAAATTTGGCATGCATGCTACTTTCGCCTAACAATTTCAGATGCAATCATAAAAACTAGCAATTAGTGACCGTAATTAGCTTAATTTAATTACGCCCCAAGGACCATAAAATTGAGGACATGATTTCTAAAGATACCGACAAGACTTGAGGCCTATTGACACAGTTACTTCGGCCCCAATCGATGTGAGCGCGCTGGCCGTGATCGTATAGTGGTTAGTACTTCGCGTTGTGGCCGCGACAACCCAGGTTCGAATCCTGGTCGCTCAAGATTTTTAGTCCGTGTATTTATAAACACTTTTTTAAAAACCACGTTTTTCATGTGTAGCAACGGACTAAAAAGGAGAAAATAAAATACTTAAAAAAAACTTTTTAAAAAACCACGTTTTTTATGTGTAGCAACGGACTAAAAAGGAGAACTGACACGATAACACATTGTTAACGGTGACACGGTTGGTACGCTGGGCATGCTAAAATACACATAAACACGTTTTTCCTTAACTCAGCTTCGCGTTTATTTGTTTGTTTATGGGAGATTTGATCACGTGATTCGTGAGTAGATCTCCACGCCAGCAACGTAAATTACACCCTTTCTCTCTTTAAAGCGTATCGGTCGCTCAAGATTTTTTTAGTCCGTATATTTAAAAACACTTAGTCAAGTCATACTTAATCAAGTGATTAGATAAAGTAGAAAATAAACTATATAAAAAACTTTTTAAAAACCACGTTTTTCATGTGTAGCAACGGACTAAAAAGGAGAAAATAAAATACTTAAAAAAACTTTTTAAAAAACCACGTTTTTCTTGTGGACTAAAAAGTAGAAAATAAATTTTCATACATTTGATGACAAAAAACGTGGGTCGGGCAGATGGGTCGGGAACTTTGATGGTGAACGTACCCACGTTTTTTGTCATCAAATGTATGAAAATTTATTTTCTACTTTTTAGTCCACAAGAAAAACGTGGTTTTTTAAAAAGTTTTTTTAAGTATTTTATTTTTACTCTAGAGCACATTCTAAAATACCGGTAGGGTGGCGGGCACCATCTATTTTAAATCGACAAACTCCTTTCTTCTTCTTCTTCTTCGTTCTTAATTATTAGTGTTGAAGGGGATCGAGATTTATCTGCCAGTGGGTTTGAACTTGAGACTTTGTTAGAATTTATCAACCATGAGCTTTTTGCCGACTCGACCACGCCTCCAACACAATTAAGCGTTACGTGTCAACTGGTTATGCGCCATTGAGACCATTGACTCCGATTTCAGCCTGCTTTTCTTTTTGGATTTGCTTCCATAGCCTTTGCCCAACCAAGAACAAGCTACAAGGCAGCAGTTGTTTGATTTTTGGAGTTGTCTCTCCTAGAAGAGTGGCTGTCCCCAGCTAACGAGCCTCATCTGCCCGAGGGTTCGAACTCGAGACTTTTCGGTTTAGCAACCATGAGCTTTACCGACTCGACCACGCCGACCCCTAAAAAACATTCATCCGAAGCATATATACTAAGTTAAAATGTATTTTTAAATTCCTGCTTTTTGACTAGCAAAGTCAGAAGATTTAAACAAAAATGTGGCTTTCTCAATTGGAAGTATTATTGGGAATTGACAAAAACTCCTTTCATAACTTGTCATTTTCCCATAATTTCTTTTCTTATTTTCTTATTTTCTTATAGTCATAATGTATTAATAAATAATAAAATAAAATGTTCAAAATAATAAAATTATTTGGCATTTTTTTTTTCAAATTGCATTTACAAAACGTAAATAGTGCAGTCTGGCTCGCCGCTAGACAAGTTGGGACAAGTATCGAACATATTTAATAACCCTAGACAGTCAAAACAATAATAATTAAAACTGGAACAAATGAATAAAAATAAATCATATTTTAAAATAATGTTCATGAAAAAAATTCTGTCTCTGTCGAATAGTGAGAGGCGGGCACATACGAATCGTTCAGCGGGCACCATGGCGCCCGCGGGCACAGGGTTGGGAACCCCTGATCTACGTGGCAAAGCAGGGTCGCAACCTTGCCGGTAGACGGCGACACTAGCAAGCCGGTTAACACCATATTATTATTAAGTAACGTACAAGGATACATAACAATAAAATGTCTAGATCTGAATTCTTTTTTAGGCCTCGAGTCGTATATATAGATAAAAGAAGCATAATCGTACTTTCCTTATGTGGGAAGATTTAAATGTACATTAGGAGACTATACAAGAAAAGAGCAACATACATTTTTAAGTTATTTTAAAATATGATATAGACAAAAATTAGTTATGATATAATATAACGAATTAAGCGTAGAGAAGTACGTAAAGGGAAATAACTCACCGTACGACTACTCGCACGACACAATGAACCTTACGGCAAAACAAAACCCACACAATCCCACACCCCTTCTTAGCAACCACACGAGGGAAAAAAATATTACCTAATCGATTATCCACCCCTAGTTACTCACCCCACCCTATTATTATATTAACCAACCTCACCCACCACCCTCGGTCCAGAAAAAACTGCAGTAGGCCGTTACCGCATTACAGGGTCTGGATTAGGGAATGGGTTAGGGTAGGGAATGGGTTAGGTTTAGGTTTAGGGAATGGGTTAGGTTTAGGTTTAGGTTTAGGTTTAGGGTTAGGGTTAGGGTTAGGGTTAGGGTTAGGGTTAGGGTTAGGGTTAGGGTTAGGGTTAGGGTTAGGGTTAGGGTTAGGGTTAGGGTTAGGGTTAGGGTTAGGGTTAGGGTTAAGGTTAGGGTTAGGGTATAGGTGCAGGTGCAGATGAAGGTGCAGGTGCAGGTGCAGGTAAAGATACAGTCGCAGGCATAGGCTTAGGCGTAGGCGTAGGCGTGCGGGTTGGAAAAGCTACCATCTAGTCTCTATCTATATTTCAATACTCCTTAACCCATCTATTTTTTTCCTCCTTTCAGTTCCTTGTCGTTATGCTTTTACTTTCTTCTTGCCTCGCACGGTCTCTCCCTATCAATTTTATCCTTTTCATTTTCTCCCCCGCGGTCACACCTTCTTAGTTACAAAAGCGCCATACATGCTTATTGGTGTGTTATTTGATTTATAAGTTACTTATATTTTATATTTTTAGACTTATTATAGCGCCGGATTTTAATTAAAAAGTACAAATCATTGTACTTATTACAAGCTTTTATTACAAACGATTATGTAACTTGTTTCTTCTTTCGTCAGTCTAGATTGAAACGCCCGAGTGAAAATTCGGGCACTTCTAAGCGATAGATTCGGTTCATAGTTGGTACGTGGTTCAAGACATGAAGACAATGCAACATGACATTAAATTTGACTTAATTAGATGCCTAATTATTTTTTAAATTAATTAATTAAAATTTTGTCCAAATTTGTAGACTGTCTCATCAAACTATTCCGCACTATTAGACACTCGTCTTCACGTTCATTAGGTGCGCATGGTTTTCAGTCATGCAATTATTGTACAATTTAACAATTTAAAGTAGCCTACTGAAAAAATAAACCGCGAGTGATCTCCCCTAAACTTTGTCGAATATTCTTAAATAACTTGGAATATAGACATGATTTTTAATTACTTTAACTTTTAAAAATAGAATAGAATCTTATAGAAAAAAGAATTGCGCACCAAGCGAACGCCAAAACAAAATGTCTATAATAGTGTGCAATATTATTAGTACTTTATAAATTTACATGCGTTTTTTTGAGAAATCGGAAATAGCGTAAATTAGTACATTCGGTCAACGGAAATTACTCAAAATTTGACAGAAGGTAGAGAATTAGATCTTTTAATTACATGTGAAATTTAATTAAACTATCTGAAATAGTACTCAAGTTATAGGCTTTTGAAAAATTCAAAGTAGAAAAAGTACCACTTCCGGTTATCGGAAATCGCTCAAAAGTTAATACGGAACTACGATTTTGATAAAATACTTATATATGAAATTTAATCAACCTAGCTGTAACGGTACTCAAGTAATTGTGTTTACACACAGACAGACACACACACACACAGACTCACAGACATATGGACAAGATTGCGAAATTATGTTTTTCCGTATCAGTGAGGTGTAAAACGTCGAGATTTGTAAAAATCTCAATTTTTTTGCACGATTACAATACTTTCTCTATACTTCGTATATACGAGAAAGTAAAAATCATAAAAATCGTTTTTTTTCACAAGCTTTTATGTAATAATGCACTAAATAGTAGAAAATAAATTATACACGACTATTTAAATAACCATAAAGAAAAGCGTGGATCTCTTTCTAAACATTAGTAAAGGTATCCAATAAATAGGGCCTACTTAAGTTACCCATGCTTTTCTTTAAAGTGAAATAGTAGTGTAAACTGGTAGACTTGTCCCTGAGGGGGGGGGGGGAGGGGGGGGGGGGAGGGGATGCCTGAAAGAAACTCTGATAGTTTTACTATGTTATTACTAATAGATCTACTTGCTTGTTTCAATCGATTAAGATGTCAGAGCCCCGCTCACACTGTGTTTACATACACCTCTGCACGCGGGTATATTTCAGGTGTTTTGACCACAGGTGCTTTGACCATAGGGGGTTTGACCATAGGGGGTTTGACCACAGCGGAGCTTTGACCATAGGGGTTTTGACCATAGGGGTTTTGACCACAGAAGGGGTAAACTTTAATATTTGGATTTTAAAATAGAAATTATAAACTGTTATTTGATTTAAACTTATGATACAATTAATACGATTTCATACATGTTTCATGATAGTCAATTAATATAAATGTACTAAAACAAGTAAAGAACGATATTTTAGTCCCCATATAAATACTGGTGCTAGGCCTCAGAGATTTATTTTAGATATAAATGAAATATAAATAATGCGACATAAAATAAGTTTCACAAA